TGATGAACGGGAATTTCTGAACTCTCGGTGAACTAAATTTGCTACAGATGTCTTAGCTTCAGACTGTCGCTTGGCTAGTTGGTCGAAGCCACACTTTTTTATATATGATGCTTTCAACCACTGTTTTTTTTCTTCTTTTTCTTCCTTTTCTTCTTCTACTTCTTCATCTTCTTCTTTTTTCTTCTTTTACTTCTTCATTCATCTTCCGTTCTTCTTCTTCTTCTTCTTCCTTTTTTGTTCTTTTCTCTCTTTCTTCTTTTCCTCTTCTTATCTTCTGCTTTCTTTTTTTCTTCTTTCTTTTCTTTCATACTTCCGTTTTTTCCATTTTTCTATTTGTAATTCAATCTGGACCGGAAAACCGGGAACAATACCATTTATTTACTTATCTTTTTTTTTATTTTAATTTTTTTTCATTTAAAAAACGAAATTTAATTTTTTTTCTNCAGAAGGAATGAATGGGTGACTCTAAATAGAGCAAGAGCCAAGGTCAGCCGTACAAATGACAACCTCCACAGGTGGGGACTCGTGCCTAGCTCAGCCTGTCCTTGTGGAGAAACCCATCCATCCTCTGAGAGTGTACGCTGGGCTCACATTGCTCTGATCGAGAACTCTTGGACGCAGTCAAACAGCTGCTCTATGGTCCCAGTGGTGGTATGGCAGGATATGATGAGTGGTCCGCGGGCTAACAGGTGGCCCTCACTCGGCACTCTCCCACGGGGCTCTCTCTTGAGGTGCGGTGAGGGTGTGGGAAGTGAATAACTTCGGTGGTTTGCTTTTGCTTTCGTCATTATCATCATTACTAATGTCAATTTGGTTGCTATTACTGTTATTATTATTGTTATTCCTTATATCAATTTTGTTATTGTTATTATTATCATTGTTGTAATTTCTATTAAAATTATCAATACTGTTATCTTATTATTATTATCATTATTGTAATAAATAATTATTATTGTTATTATTATTATTTATTTCTATTATGATTATCAATATTGTTATTCTTCTTATTATTATTCATCATTATTATCATTACCATATTAATTTACGTATCTTATCATTGTCTAGTTGGGGAAAGGGGGGGGGGGCTTTAGTCCTGCAAGACAACGACTACGATTATTATATTAGGTATGTAAAAAATACGTTTTTTTCTCTTTCTTTCTGTCTCTCTCTCTCTCTCTCTCTCTCTCTCTCTTCTCTCTCTCTCTCTCTCTCTCTCTCTCTTCTCTCTCTCCTCTCTCTCTCTCTCTCCATTTACTCGCTCTCTACCCCCACCCTATCTCTCTCTCTCTTTCTCGTCTCTTTCTCCCCGCTCTCTTTCTCTCTCCGTCTGTCTGAATCTCTCTCTCTCTCTCTCTCTCTCTCTCTTCTCTCTCTCTCTTCTCTCTCTCTCTCTCTTTCTCTTCTTACTATCCGTCTGTATCTTTTCTCTCCCTCCCTCCCTCTCTATCTTTTCTATCTACTATATATCTCTCTCTTTGTCTGTCTGCCTGTCTTTTTCACTGTCTCTCCCCTATTCTCTGTCACTCCCTCTCCCTCCTTCTATCCATCTATCTATCTATTTGTCTGACTGTCAGTCTGGATTTATGTCTGTTTAATATGTCCGTCTCTTTCTCTCTCTCTCTCTCTCTCTCTCTCTCTCTCTCTCTCTCTCTCTCTCTCTCTCTCTCTCTCTCTCTCTATATATATATATATATATATATATATATATATATATAATATATGTATATATATTTGTATGTATGTATGTATGTATTTATATTTTTCTCCCTGTGTGTCTATATATATGTATATATGTATATATAATATATATATTATATATATATATATATATATTATATATATATATATATATATATATATATATATATATATATATATATAATATATATATATATATATATATATGTGTGTGTGTGTGTGTGTGTGTGTGTGTGTGTGTGTGTGTGTGTGTGTGTGTGTGTGTGTGTGTGTGTGTGCATATACACATGTTTATATATATATGTAAAATGGTGATAATGATATTGATGATATTGATAATCATAATAATATTAATAATAGTAATGATGATGCTAGTAATGATAACGGTGCTAGTAATGATAATAATGCTATATTACTACTGATGATGACAGTGGAAATGCCATTGCTCTGTGACTGAACGCCGGCTTTGGAATTGCAAGTCCTGGCCCGCGCCCGGTCGCCCTTCTCGGCTGACTCGGCTGTGAGTGAGGACTCTATGCTGCCGTCAGCAAGTTGTTAAAGTCGGGCGGAGAGGAACTGGCCACCTGAACACATCAGCGCGCTGCCTAGTGAGCATGTTCCTCTGACTTTTTATAATAATGTTTTTTATGAAAATTGCGACTAGAATCCTTGCATCGTTTCACAATGTCTTTACTAATATTATTATTGGCACTCATTATCGTGTGGAAAGTAACGATACAATATATATAATATATATATATATATATATATATAATATATATTATATTTATATAAACTTAAACGACCTCTCTCTCTTTCTCACACATACACACACATATCTATCTATCTATATATACATGTTTGCAAACACACACACAGATCTATATACAAGTAAAATAAAGTATGTACATGTTTTCGTGTGTGTACAGTACTACAATAAAGGGTAGAAAGACTGTTACTCAGTGAATAAAATAGGAATAGTAAATATACAAAAAACAGAGAAAATGAAGTATAATACAAAGAAAAAAGGAAGAAAAATAACAAAATGTGCAAAAGACATAAAAAAATCGGAAAAATCGAACCAGAGGAAAAATGATACAATCTCGAATCCCTCAAAATCATTTATTTTCAGAATATCAACAGCCCAAGAGAGCAAAATCTGGAATGTTTTAACACTAGAAGAGACGAAGACGCCGTAAACTGTGCTAGATTTTCCTTCAGTGAATTTGTTAAAGAAAAGGCAATTTGATTTGAGTTCGTTTTTCTTTTAAATTTTTCATTCTTTTGCGTTCGACGAATTTGAATGGATTTGGGTTTAGATTTGTTGTTCTTTTAATCATTAATAGTTTTTTTTCAAGAGTTTAAAACATCCTCTGCGATTTTAGGGAGTGAATTGGACTATAGGTTATCATCCAGTAATGTGTTAAACGCGAAACCAGCAATACATCCAATTTCTCGTTTGTGTTGGAGTATTGTGTTCCTCATCCATCGTCATGTCAACACGGTATTGTATTTTCGTCTTTTATTTTATTCCTTTTGAATTGTTGTGTACTTATTCGAATGTGTTACATTTATTCGCAGATAAAAGTCACACGAAACAGATAACGCAGCTGAGTAATACTGATGCTGTGGATGTGATTTGCTGACGTCAACTTTGTCAGCTGACGTCTGTTTTGTCAGCTAGGTTGATTGAGCAAGATTGAAGTAAATGAGTTGGGAGTTAGCTTCTGGTGTCTCCAATATGCCTCGTACATTACACAGTATAAAATCTAACATAAACAAGGATAAAAAATAATGAATGTGGTTCGATCAGAGGAATAATATAAGACTTTGAAATTCCTAACAAAAAAGAGATAAAAGAAGAAAAAGAAAGAATTGGGATCTCTGATCAAACGGGCTGATGGCATGTCGACGATTGGCGGAAAACCAACCAATCACCGCGCTCCTTCAGCCTTTCATTTGATTCAAATATTAACCGAATATCACCAGTGATGATATAAGTATAAAATGTGATAAGGGAGATCACACGAGTCATTAAATCGTACAAAAACAACACAATGGAGGAGTAAAAAAACTGCACTATATACAAATATTTAGAGGCCATAGCCTGTTATCCATGTGGTACACAAACAAGTGCATATAAAATAACAATGACGACGGTCTCAGAGAATATAACATAACCTTGCAATAAAGACTTCAACAATAAATCAACAAACAGAGCAAGGTAAGGTTGACATCACTACATTGGTTATACATTTTTTTGTATTTTCCCTTCTCCCTTTGTCTCGTACATATATCACACACACTTTCAGTTGCAAACAGTAAGAAATGGAATATGCTGACTCAATCTAGCCAGGCCACATTCGCGTATCATCGACATCTTCCTCACTTTACGCCTCTGAACTGAGCCCGCTCTTTCTACGACGCCACCGAACTCTGCTAACGGAGTCGGGGATTTCTGTGACGTCACTGGGACTCCTGATGGCCTAGACTCGAGCAGGATTGTCTACCATTAACTGTTAACTTGGAGGAGGGCAAGCTGATAGAGTGCTGGGAGTGCTGTGACTGTGACTTGGTCGTGTACTGGGACTTGTCCTGAGATCGAGTGTGCGAGCTGAGGCGCCGCGTCGCCACCTCGAGGAACACTGAGTTTTCACTAATACTTTTCACCAGATTTGGAAGGATGATGACGCTGCCGCGTGGAGGGCAACTCAGCAGCGGCAGTGAGCAGGAGCAGCACCGCATGCGGCCCCGGGTTTTGTAGCGCGCTCGTCGCAGCGAACGGCGAGGGGCTGGCCGCGGAGGAATCCGGGCCATGAGCGGGCAGTCCTGCTTCTTCTCCGTCTGGTTGGGCTTGATGTCCCGGTAGTGAGACAAGACGCCCGTGTCCGGGGTGGCGGCGTCGTAGCGGTGGTCCTCGCTCTGCGTCGACATGGCGGTCTTCAAGGAATCCGAGTCGTCGTCGATGGTTCGCCACATGAAGGCGCACTCGTCCTCGAACTCGCCCGCGGGCAGGTGCTCGGGCAATTCCTCGGGCATCCTGCCCTGGATTTCGCCCGCGAGACGGTACTTGATCTCCTCCGGCGTGATCTGTGGCATTTGGTCCAAGCTTATCTGCCGCTCGTACGGCCGCCACGTGATCACCGGCTTCTTCTTGACCGCCAGACGTGCTTTCAGCGACGCAGGTAACCGGAACGTTTTCTTCGGCTTCGCGATCTTGAGGTCGTCGTCGTCCACCACCGTGCTCATGTCCAGCGCCACGGCGTCCGTGCCCTCCAGGCCCTTGCCGACGTTGCTCACTG